TAGACCATCCTCAGTCAATCAAGTCAGTGGAATCCTCACAAAATCCCTCACTCAATCGGGTCAGTGATAACCTCCCTCGATTTCCTCCCTCACCCTCTGCAACACTGGCACACCCCTCACCTGCTCCCTCAATCTCATCGAACCCAGGCACACCACCACTCTCCCAAACCGAGAATGACCAAAATACCCATGCAAATTTCATTCCAGTCCGTTGGATTTAGAATGTACATAGGGTAAAATAGGCATTTGATGCTCAGGGATTTAACCCATTCAATGGTCACCACCGAAGCCCACTTCGGGCCCAAAACCAACAGCCCTAAAAAACCCAAATTGTGGTCAGTGGAAGAGATGTAAATATTCAGCCCAAATCTGATGGCATTGTTGTAAATATTCGGCCTATGACAGCCAAAATACATAGCTTGTTTTCTGTTGAGACGCTTCTCTCATATCTGGCCAATTAATGAAGAGCAAACTACGACACCATTATTCAAAATTTGACAAAGTGAAGTTTTCCTCTAGGAATCTTCACCTTTCAAGCTATATATTTTCTGGTTCTCAATTCTTACAATTTTCATTGTTTTCCTCTAGGAATCTTCACCTAATTTTCTCGTGTTTGCTTTAATCGCGTACTGACGTTGGTGATTGAGAAAATGAAATCGTTGATGTCAATGCTCAACTTTACTGTTTACTTTTTGTAAAGTTAAGTTTATTGTAGCTCGAGATACCTTCTTTATATGCGAGTAAGTCTTCCACCAAATCAGAAACTAAAGCGTTTTATATACGTTGAAACGTGATTGGAAGATGCGTTGTCATCCATTCTTTTCGATTTCCTGTGTTTGAGTTATATTATTTCCTCCATGATTTGAAGTTGTTTCCGAAGTATATTTATTGGGATTTTGAGATGTGCGTTCTGGTACCTTTTGGAATATGACTTGAAACTTTCAGAGCAAGCGCAAACCAGAGTTTACCGTTCTAGTTCCTCATTTGATTATGCAGTTATATTCTCAATTGTCATTGCCTCGAGATTACTTGGTAATGACGTGATTACACAGTTATATTCTCAACTTGCTATTACCTCGAGATTACTCGATGGTAGTGACATGATTACAGAGTTATATTCTCAGCTTGTCATCGTCACAAGATTACTCGACAATGACATAATTATATTTCAGCTTAAACTAGTTACGGCTAGTGTATGATTTTGTATGCATGTAAAATAGTGTCAAAGACCCATTAAGTGTGGTCCTTCGGGGATGCAATAAATGTGGTTACTTGCAGGTGTTTTAATTTGGGCGTATCCCTATTTTAAGGGGAGTTTTGTCAAATTTTCGGTAGATTTTAATAGTTGAAAACTTGAGTTATGACTTTATGCATATTATGGATTCGTCACCAATCCACGTGATGGTCAACTAATAGGATTTTTAGTACCTGCGTAAAGAGGGTTAAAAATCACACAAAAGACTTGCAAGAGAACAAGGTAGTTGTAGTAAAATGTTAATGTAAAGTCGTTCCCACAAGGATTATCTAAAACAATTTATGCAAAACCAAAATCTTAGTTAATTATTTGACAACAAAGTTTGAATAGAGTTGTTTTTCAATCTAAAAATAATAAAAACGAATTTAATAAAGTAATTGAGGAAAATCAACAAGAAATCAATTTTAAAGAAATCAAATTAGAAAGAAACAGATTTGTAAAAGCACTAGGGTTCCACCGTCCTCTTAACTATCATTTGTAGATTCACTAATTACTTATGAATTACACATGCAACTTTGAATGTTAGGTTTTCCTAATGCATATTCAACTTGTGGCATTCAAGATAGAGCGTATATCAAACATGCAATCCGTCTATAGCATTCAGATTAAATATAAACATGCATGACTCATTATATTTTGTGAAAACCCTTTGAAAAATCATGCAACCCTTAAGACGTGGCATTCGCCCCAAGTGACTTACAATTATTAATCATAAGAAGCATTCCTCAATTTCAAAGGTGACATTCCAACAGAAATTGCATCTGATTGCTTATCTAAACATTCTAATGATAGCTAAGTATTAAGACATAGAGACTATTTAAATGTAGTGATTATTAATTCAAAGCATGCATGCATAATATCATAAGCAATAAAATAAAAACTACATATTCATGCTAAAGCTATGGCCCCGCCCTAGCAAAAGAAAGTTAGTTATGCATATTCATAATTAAAACCAAAAGAGTTTTATTGAAATAGAAAAAGAGTGAAAACACCTTGTAGAATAAAGTTTGAAAATTTCTAAGCTTTGGCCAAATTTCTCTCTCAAATATTGTGTTGAAAAGAAGAACATAGGGCCGGCCACATGGCTTATTTATACTACGTAGAAAATTCAATCCTTCCTAGAAAATGACTTAAAATAAAACTAGGAGACCAAATAAATTAAAATAAATTAGAAAACAGAATCCTAAATTGACTAGGATAATCAGCTCAAAATCTGCACAACGACGTTTTGGATACAAATCTCCTCCAAAAGTGGCTCAAAATAGCTGGATTTAAAGTTTGGAATAATCTGAACATTTCTACATAAGGCCACGAACCCAACAAAGGTCATCTTAGGCTCATAAAATTGCAATTAAGCCAAAAAGTCACTTTTCAGCATCACGCATTGCTTTTTTATTTTATCGCTAGAAAATAACCGCTTGGTAGAAAAAAACCAAAATTTTGACACAAACAAGCTAAAGGACTCACGAACGTCCTCCAATTTGAATCACTTTAAAACTCGTCCGTTTGATCACGTTTTGCTCCAGAGGATGTCGAATGTCCTATATTGAAAATATAAAGTTAAGTATCAAAATTCAACTAAAATAATTACAAAACATACTAAAATAGGATAAAATATATAATATGAAATCGACTCATCACTAGCACATCTCAATTTCAGTGCCCACTGAACATCGAAGTTCGGGTGTGTCAGCGAACTAAAGGTTTTTTTTATATTTTATTTTAAAAAAACAAACGTTATTATCTAAATCAAGGGGAGCTTGTGAGGTTAGCCTCATAATGGGTTAGCAATAATGTGATTTAAATTCTCATTTGGTGGAGAATCAAACCTAAGACCTCTTACGTACAAGTGAAGATGAACACTACTAAACCGTAGTACTAAGTGACAACTAGAATTTTTTTTTTTTTTTGGTAGTTTCTCCCTTTCATCTATCGACTGTTAAGGCAGGAAATTCTTGTATACATCAATGTACAATATACACTTTTAAATGTAACGGCTGGACTTGCACCCGATAAAATTTCAATGCACTTTGCAGGAAATCACGCCTCAAATGGAACCCTTTAAATTACAGAATGTTTAACGAATGCTCAGCTTTATAAAAAGTAGGGAGAAAGAAAAGTGGAAATTGACAGACCAATAAGCTATAACAAGCGTGCCCGCTTTATGACTGAAGTTCACTCTGCTTTGTGAAATTTCCAGTCAGCTTCCATAATATGGCGCACTTTGCTTAGATGATAAGATCTGTTCTCCTTTTTGCTAGCTGTTCTGTGATTGTCTTCTCTCACAACTCAATTTCCATTTGCAAAAGGAAGAGATCGGTCATCGCAGTGGCGGTGGTAGGTGGAGTCGCTATCTCGTTGCTTACCTTCACAAATCACAACAATAAATGTGTGAAATCAGGAACGAGGGATTGAGCTAGATTTTTTTTTTTAATGGAGGCACTAAGCAAAAATTTTATTAAGAAAAATAAAATGATATTCACGCACTGATTATAGACTCTTAATCATATTCTAGAGTATTCTTCTTCAACGGTTTGAAGGATATAGATTCCTTGTTGTACGCTCACTTGCTTTATGACCAGGTAGCTTAACCTCAACGGTGTCATGACTCGTGGACACTCAAATGAAATGTATTTAACATAATAAAATATTAAGGATTTAACAATAAGAGAACTGTGGTGTCTCAGGTCAAAGCATTATCCCAATGAGTTCTCATGTGACATAATGATGCATCTTTTCCATTTTCTTTCATTTTTCATTTTCCTTTCGGTGCACTTCCCCTTTATCCTTTTCTTTTACCCCCCTCCTTTTTTCCTTTCATTGTCTTTTACCATTATTTAATCTTAATAAAAACTTATCAGCTCCAAAATTTTTGAAATTATGTTTTGCTCTACAATTAAGATTGAGTTTAATTCTATTAAGCCTTCTGGCTTGTAATTAACCTTCATGCATTATTTTTTTTTTTGTTGAAAATTTCTCTCTAATTTGGTGAATTTTAGCTTTCCGAGTACTGGGTTTACGTTTCCATCCATTTACTACGCTCGTTGGGGGGGTCACTCGGCCTTTGATTGTAGCATCCTTTTGCCTCTATGAACTCTTGAGAATCTAATCATGCAGCATACCATTGAGAATCTAATCATGCAGCATATCATTTTAATTATCTATTTCCCTGTAAGATTAAAGAACTCATTTGCCATTCAAATGTGCTGGAATGAATATTGAAGAAAGTTAGAGTTCCACTAGCACACCAATTAGCAATATGGAGAGTAGCTCAATCTCTTATAAACTCATGCAATGTTCCTTCTTCCATCAATGTGTGACTCATTCTCAACACGCTCCCTCACGTGCGGCGAATTTTCGAGCCTAATACATGGACAACACAACGAGGTGACGTGAAACATATGTGACCACTGACTTCACACGTGGGACAACCTGCTCTGATACCATGAAGAAAGTTGGGGTTTCATAAAAAAACCAGTTGATAATATACGAAGTAGTCCAACCTCTTATAAGTCCATATAAAATCCTTCAATATAAGACTCATTCTCAACGAATATAACATTATTCGCGGCATTAAATTCCAATGTACTCTGTGGGAATCACCACCCCCACAAAAAAAAAAAATCGCGTGTTAAATGGGACCCGATAAATTAGAGAATGCTAACAGATACTTGCCTTTATAAAAGCAGGGAGGAAGAAAATTGGAAATTAACAGACCAAAAAGCTATATGGCAGGTGTGCCTGCTTTGTGACTAAAGTTCGCTCTGCTTTTGACTCCTCCATGCCTTGTGAAATTTCCAATCAGCTTCCAGCCGCCCTAATACGGCACTATTAGTATTGAATCATTATATCTATACGAAAACTTCAGTTGATGGCACGGTTTACCAACAGTGATTTCACGAAAATACCTTTGGTTTTTCTTCCCTTTCCTGCTTTGCTTTTTAATGTTAAACAGTGGATTTACAAATTTCCCCTTACTATTTGTTGGCTGGGGGTGCCACTACCTCTTAGAAGATACCCGTTTGTTCCATTTGCGTCCAGATTCTCCCCAGTTCTCTCTCTCACAAACCACGAACCAAAAAATCCTCTCTCTAAAAAGATCACGAACCCCAGCTCAATCTCTCTCAAAACCTGTTAACCACAACACAATCCGGTCCCGATTCGAAGAAAGCTTTAAGCCCAGAAAAAGTTCGGTTTCATGGTGAGTTCTCCTACCAATTTGGGGCTTCTTTTTGTTTTTTATTTTTCTGGGTAGCATGCAGTCTTTTCTGAGTTAATGGTCGAGGCTTTGTTATAAAAAAGAGTAGTGGTTGTGGGTCAGTTATGAGGTTTTTTAGGTACTCAAGATTCTTGAATTCTAGATGTGTTGAATTTGGTTTTTTTTTTCACTAATTGCATGCTTCATAGAATTAATACAAATACAAAATGGAAAAATGATTTTCATCCATAAATAATATTCAAATACTTGAAAAGTTTTAAATTGGGTTTGGTTTCATTGGTTTTTCTGATTTTGAAACTTTTGCTTTCAGGCTCCAAAGGCTTTTAGGGGCTTGTTTTGTATCATATTAAAAAAAATTCATTATTTCTCAAAATATTTTTTTAAGAATATCTCTTAAAAACAATTTTCTTTAAGATTCAAAAACTTGTTTAGTATGAGATTTAAAATTATTTTTAAATCTTAGATAAGATTGCTGAAATTAAGTATGGTTCCTTTGCAGGGGAGTTTGTTTTGATTTTTTGTGGAAGAATTCCAGTTTCCAGCGCTTCGTATTCTTCAATTACAGGTAAATGAATGTTGCATGTGAATTTTTTTTTCAACAAATAAAGAAAACCCTTTTGTTGGGTTGGGCGAAGCCATATTGCTTCTATTGGCATAAAACTATTCCCACACAATCAAAGTATGCAGTGGTTTGATAATTAAGTACAGAAAATCTTCAGCTGATATCCTTCTTCTCTTTACGTGATAAAATCATGTTTTTTGGATTATGATGCTTATTCTGATTCTTATCTGTAAACCATTGATGATATAACATTATAGGCTTGGGGTAGTAGGTTTTGTAGTCTTTTTCCTCAAATATAACTGAGTACATCATAATCGTTGCATTCCTTGGTTTGTGATTTTGTTGCTCGATTACCGAGGTTTATCTTTTGGTGCTCTCTGATTGGTTCTCACATTTGAGTCATCTCACCAAATCATTAATGTGGATTTCCTCTTGAAATTTTAGCTTTGGAATAGGTAGGTAGCGATCTCTGCTTGGCTCTATCAGTCGATTCACATAACCTAATAATTGAAGTCTTCTTTTCCTTGGGTCGGAAAAATGGCAATAATTCTACCGAAAAAATGGCAATAATTCTACTTGAGTTGATATTTATTAAATAAAAACTAATGAAAATGGCGTCAAATCTTTACATTTTAATAAAAAATCATCTACTAACTTTATTTAATAATAAGGACAAGAGAATTAAAAAACAAAAAACATAAAAACCCAACTTGCGCTGGGTGCGTCCCCCAACCCCCCTTCCACACTCCACTTTTTTCCCCAATTGTCTGATACATTAATAGATTTTTTATTTATTTTATTTTTGCTTAGAATAAAAGAAGAGTTCAAACTGAATTACATTCCCCAGTTTTATATTTGTGGTGATTTTTTCGAATAATAGTCAAGATGATGAGAAATTTTTCAATGTGCTTAGAGCACATAATGGTACACCACGTGTCTATATACAAGTTGTGAGATTCTTGTGTTAAAAAATTAATTACACAAAAAATAAATTTTTTGCTACTTACATAATAACACGTGGTGTGCCACTTGTGTTATGGGCACAAGGTAAAGTTTCTCCAAGATGACACTCAAGCTCAAAAAATTGGATGAAGAGTTACATTTATTTTTGTAGGTATGTAAAAAAATGTGAGGAAATTTTAATTTAGTAATTGAAAACAATTTTTTAAATATAATTATTGAGAACATAATCTTCTCAAGGTTTTGATCTAATGGATCACTTCTGAGTTCATTGTTTTGGGCGCAATGAGTGCTTTTACATGACCAAACAGAGTCTTAAGTTACAAACCTTATGAAACTGAACCAAGAAGTAGGCATTATTTATGAAAGTAGACCAATAACTAGGCACTATTTATGAAACTGGACCAAGAAAGACATTATTTATGAAATTATACCAATTACTATACATTATTTATAAAACTGGACCCAATAACTAGGCTTTATTTATGAAACATGATTAAGAATTAGACATTATTTATGAAAGTCACTATTTATAAAATTGGACTAATAAATATAATAGTACCGTTCAGATACTGCAATTTAATACATAGTGTTCTGTTTCATAAATAGTATTCAATTTCATAAACAGTGTCTTTGATGCATGCACGAGTCCTGTGTGTTAGGTCTTTTTTATTTTTAATTTATATATATATATATATATATATATTAAAATTGTATCATTTTTATTAAAATTTAAGTTATTTTGTCATTTTTATTAAAATTTAAGAATTTTTCATTATATTTAATTCTTTTTCATTAAATAAAGTTATAACATGGTTTTTGGTTAAGATAAGTTTAGTCCAAGCATTTTTCATGAAAGTTCCCATTTCTTAATGAAATAAACTAATAGAATAATTAAGTCCTTTTGGGACCGCTCTTGCGCGGTTTAGAATCACTTCTGAATAAAGCACCTCCCACTTTTAAACCTAGAATCACCTCCCAAATAGGCCCTAAGCAATACAAGATCCAAAAGCTTTAAATAATCATTTAAGTTAATCCACCTGCTAATTAGGAAGAAAAATAATCAATTTGTAAAGTACTCTAATAACAGTGGTTGTGGAAAATGGAAAAGGATTCCTTCCGGGTCCATTATGTGGGGTTCTTAGAGATCCTCACATCTCAGTCATTCATCATGTATCGTGCTATTAGGAATCATTTGATTTTTATTATTTTAAATTAAACACAAATAATACTTGACAAAAACTGACTGCACGATAGACGATGAATGACTAAGACGTAAATCCCCACACAATGGATCCGGAGGGGATCCTTTTCCGTGGAAAATTCGTATTCGGTCCCTAGTTACTAATGTTTATTGACTAAGACCTTATTAGTTTTCAGATTTGGATCAAAGTCCCTACCATTAATGTATTAATGAATTTAGATGTCAATTAGATATTTTTTAAAATAAAAAGTAGTAATTGTTTTAGGGTTTTAATATTCACACCCTTAATTTTCAATTCAAAATATTTCCCAAAAAAAAAAAATTGATTTAGTTTGCACCCATTAATTTTTTTTTACAAATATTTTCAATTTTTAATCTTAAATGTAACCATTCATTTAACTTTTCAATTTTTTTAATCCTAAATGTAAACAATACTTTTTTTAGTATAACATGTACCCATTTCTTTTTATATAAGATCCATTCAATTTTTTTTCTAATCTATATTTTAAACTTATATGGGTATATTCTATTTCATTGATTTAAGAATGTATCCATCAAGTTTAATCAAAGAAATTTAATAATGTTATTAAGTCTTTTTTTTGTGGTTTTGGAAAATGTACCCATGTTTTGGTACAATAATTTTTTTATTATTATTTATGAATGTATCTATGTTTATATATACACAATATATTTGAGAGTATAATTTATCCTTTAATATTTTTAATTCCACAAATTATGGGTTTTATTTAAAATCTCATAAATATAAACTACTATAACTACAAATTTCAAATTTCAATTTAAGAATATAATAACATACATATAAATACATTATTTTATTAATGTCAAGGACTTCAATCAAAAACTGAAAACCAACAAGTTTTCAGTTAAAGAACATTAATAGTTAGAGACCGCATTTAAACTCTCCCCTTAGATAGTTATTATTCTAAGCAATGCACATCTAAAACTATGATATCTCATCTTATCAATCTTAGATTTAGATAGTGACTAGAGATTACAAAGAGAGATGAAAACAAGTTTAATGACAATTAACGATTTTGTTATTGCATGATTCAGTGAGTTTCTTACTGAATAACATCGTAGAGGAGAAATGATCACTTGTAGGAAAATGATTCGATAAGTTTGTTACTAGATAACATTTTATTCATTTTTTATTTGCTCAATAAAACAATTAAAAAGAAATTAGAGTGTGTATAAGTAACAAATTAATGAGAGTTTGTAAAATGTAAAAAGAAATGAGAGTATGTAATGGGATCATTAACAACATAATCAAGAATAATCATTATGTTTATCTCATTGAATCAGCATTTTCTATTTGTCAAAGAATAAGACAAACATAATGATGTCTAAATTCAGAAGCTGGAATACAACTATGATTCATTGAGTTTCTATTTGTCAGAAAATGTAAGTTGATGTCTAACTTCAGAGTTGTACAGCTATAGGGTATGCTATTTATTTCATCTTATACTCCATATTTGTGCTTAGAGATAAGCAAAATGATGTATTAGAAACTTCAACAAGCAGCCTTTTGTTTTAATGGTTTTCCGGTTGATGTTTTGTTTAATGGTTGCTCTTTTGCGACTAAATTGGTGGTTTCATATATTAAGTTCAATTGTAAGAAAGTAGAATTTTTCTTCGGTTTGGACGTTATTTTTTTCATATATTTAATTACTTACAGAACTTGATCGTCTCTGTTTCAACTCTGTTTGCGTTATGAATAGCAACTCTTTCCAAGTTAACATGGATTTATTTTTACAGTGTAATTATATTTTAGAATTAGTATTTTTCTTGATTCAAAACAAAAGGTCTATAATTTCCTTCCTACATTCCATGTTTGTACATAGTATTGCCTGTCGTAAGTGTTTTATACGGTTTTGAAACCTTCAACATAAGGGACCTATGTTTCATATGTATTTATTTTTAGAACACTTCCAGCCCAGCCAAGTCCCCCCTGAGCGATGAGCTCTGGAATCCCCCTACCAAGAAAATAAAAAATAAAAAACGGTAGCTCCAGCCCATTCCAATAACCTGGGCTCCCCTGGATCCCCCACTTTCCCCAGGTCCGAATTGACTGGCCCACTTTGATGTTAGCCATGATTAGAAAAATATAAAAAATACAAAAACTTATAAAAAGTTAATTAAAAATATAAAAAAGTTATAAATTCTTTCTATAAATACCTAGCCATATTTCTTCACTTTACATCCCATTTCAATATTTTCAAATACTTTTCAACCTATCTTTTATTGTCATTCGAAATTAAAAATAAAATTATTTATTATTTTATTAAAAAATATTTGGTGGAAATACATTTGGACAATTACTGTTCATTAAAGGCAGTTACTAACTTACTATTCACTTTGACGGATTGGGCTGCCTATAGCACATGGGGACATTTAGGGGTAGGGTTGCCCTAAAAAGTGCAGTTAAAGGCAGCCAACGAGAAATGCGAGATGAGAAATGACTCCAAACGCATCTACTTTTGTGTTAAATATAATAAAGTCAGTCTTTGTTTAATATCAATCCAATAACTCTTAGTTTGAATTAGTTGAGTTTGAATTAGTTTATTTGTAGCGAAAACTAAGCTTAGTTTTCGTTACATTGATATTGCTAGCTAATTTGTGATTATCTTCTCCCAGCAAAACTCAATTCCATTTGCAAAGAAGAGATACATCATGGCGTTGGCAGTGGTAGGTGGAGCCGCTCTCTCGGGTTTCTTCCAGCAAGTATTTGTGAAGTTGGATTCTCAGGAGGTCAAGAACTTCATCAGAGGAAAGAAACTGACTGATGGGTTGCTGAAGAAGTTGAGGATCGAGTTGATGTCTGTCAATGCTGTTTATGATGATGCCGAGCAAAAGCAATTAAGTAACCCAGTTGTGAAGCAGTGGCTGCATGAGCTTAAAGAAGCAGTCTTTCATGCTGAGGACCTACTGGACGAGATCAAGACAGAAGCGTTAAGGCGGAAAATTGAAGCAGAATTTGGAAGTAGCACAAGCAAGGTACAAGACCTCATCTCTGCTTATTTCCATGCTTTTGATGAGTCTGTAGACACCAAGATAGAGGAAATTCTTGAGAGGCTAAGCTCCATTTCAAAACATAAAGATGTCCTCGGTTTGAAAGAACGTTGTAGTCACAGAATCTTACAAACATTGCCTTCAACTTCTTTAGTAGAAGGCTTTGATGTGTATGGAAGGGATCATGAGAAGGAAACCATCATTCAATTGTTGCTATCAGATGATGTTACTTGTAATAAGATTGGCGTCATTCCCATCGTGGGCATGGGTGGGATCGGAAAGACCACCCTTGCTCAGCTCTTATACAATGATGATAGAGTGAAGCAGCATTTTAATGCCCGAGCATGGGTTTGTGTTTCTGATGAATTTGACGTTGGTAAGATCACACAAACAATTTATGCATCAGTCACTTCACAAACCTGTGATACCACAGACCTAAATCAGCTTCAAGTCAAACTCAAAGATTCTTTGGCGGGGAAGGAGTTTCTTTTTGTTCTTGATGATGTTTGGAACGAGAATTACAATATTTGGGATTCCTTGAGGCGCCCCTTCGAGTCTGGAGCTCATGGAAGTAAGATCATTGTCACCGCAAGGAATGGTGGTGTTGCATCTACGATGGGTACTCTTCAAACCCACTATTTAAAGCACTTACTTGAGGAAGACTGTTGGTCTTTATTTGCAAAACATGCCTTCAAAGATGCAAGTGTTATTGTAGATCCAAATCTGGAGGTAATTGGAAGACAAATTGTTAGAAAGTGTAAAGGCCTTCCTTTAGCTGCAAAATCTCTCGGTGGTCTCTTACGCTCTGAACCAAATGTGGAAGAATGGGAAAATGTGCTAAAAAGTGACATATGGGAGTTGTCAGATGCAAAGATTGAAATTCTGCCGGCTCTATGGCTAAGCTACCAGTACTTGTCTCCTGTGCTGAAGCGTTGTTTTGCTTATTGTTCGATATTTCCCAAAAATTATAAATTTGACAAGTCTAAATTAATTTTGTTGTGGATGGCCGAAGATCTTTTGCAACCCCAAAAGAAGACTTGGTTGGAAGATGTTGGAAAGCAATACTTTGATGATCTAATCTCACGGTCATTTTTTCAATACTCATCTTCAAATGATTGTTTCATCATGCATGATCTGATGCATGATTTGGCGACTTACGTATGTGGGGAATTTTGCATTAGATTGGAAGACCACGACTTGTCATTGGACGTTGTGAGCAAGGGTCGTCATTTTTCTTATATGCAATATTCATCTAATGTTGATTCTGAGAGATTTGACACTATTTATGAAGCTAAGTATCTGCGCACCTTCATTCTTGGCGATTTCTATTTGCCGACAGTACGACTTGATCTCCTTTTAATGCTACAGTGTTTAAGAGTTGTCAAACTTCAAGGGAATGATATCAGGGAGTTGCCTAATTCGATTAGCAACTTGAAGCATCTACGGTACCTCGACTTGTGTTACACTCCAATCCATAAATTACCAGACACGGTATGCAGTTTGTATAATTTACAAACGTTGTTGGTATCGAATTGTAGATATCTAGCTGAGTTGCCCACCGATTTGAGAAAACTTATCAACTTGCGCCATCTTGATTTCAAAGGTACGAAAATAAAAAAGATGCCCCCCCACATGGGCAAGTTGAAAGATCTCCAAACATTTGGAGGTGAGTTTGTCTTGAGCAAAGATGCTGGGGGATACATTGATGAGTTAAAGGGGTTTCATCATTTGAGTGGAAATCTTCATATTTCAGGGCTTCAAAATATCAAACATGTTGAGGATGCTTTGGAGGCCAAACTGAGGGACAAGAAGCTCAGTGAAATACATTTGAAATGGGAAGGTGACACTGCTGATTCTCAAAACGATAGCCGAGTGCTGGGCAACCTGCAGCCCAATACAAATCTAAAGGTACTGGCAATAAAGGGATACGGAGGTATAAAGTTTCCAAGTTGGTTAGGAGATGAGTCTTTCTCTAATCTCATCACTCTCCGACTTAAGAATTGTGGATATTGTTTCTCCCTGCCAGCATTGGGGCGGCTAACGTCCCTCAAAAGGCTTGAAATTGATGGGTTGAATGGAGTGGAATTAGTGGGGTCTGAGTTTTATGGGCCTGCATTTAAAACTCTGGAGTTTCTAAGTTTCCGCAGTATGCGGGAATGGCAAGAGTGGTGTTTCCCTGGAGGTGAAGAAGAAGAAGGCGGACATTTTCCTAATCTGTGCGAGCTTAGTCTGGACAACTGTCCCAAACTAACGGGAAAATTACCGTTATACTACTTCCCAAGACTTGAGCGGCTAATTTTGCACGAAGTTAATATCGAATCCCTTGCTTGTTCGCAAGAATGCAATAAATTCAATATTGAACTCCCATCCCTCCGTGACTTGAGAATATCAGATTGCCCGAATCTGGTATGTTTTGTGGGTGGTGGAGTGCTGCTTGCGCCCAACTTGAAGTGGATAACTATGTGGCGTTCTAAAAACTTGTGGTCAGTGCCAGAGGAGATGCACGCCTCTCTCCCGTCTCTTCAGTCTCTGTCCATAAAAGGGTGTAAAGAATTTAAATCATTTCCGGAAGAATCTAAATTCCCATCCCTCGATGATTTGAAGATAATGGCATGCCCAGAATTTGTGGGTTTCCTCTATGGAGGAGGACTGGAAGCGCCCAACTTGAAGACGATGGAAATCAATGAATGTAATGAATTCAGGTCACTGCCAGGGGAGATGCACGCCTCTCTCCCGTCTCTTCGGTCTCTGTTCATACGAGGGAGTAAAGAATTTAAATCATTTCCGGAAGAATCTAAATTCCCATCTCTCTCGTGTTTGAATATATGGGATTGTCCAGAATTGGAATCATTTCCGGAAGGGGGATTGCCGTCTAAATTGCGTGAACTCAGAATCGGGAGTTGTAAAAAACTGATGGCAAACCGTATGCGGTGGGGTCTACAAACACTCACCTCTCTCGAAACGTTGGATGTCAGCTTCTTAGAATGTGAAGAAGAAGAAATTGGCGAATCATTTCCAGAAGAGGGGCAGCTGCCAACCACTCTCACTTCTCTCGGAATCCTCCAGCATCCGAATCTGAAAACAATTGACGGCAAGGCGTTAAGACACCTCATCTCTCTCAAGGAGTTGAGCATTTTGTTTTGTCCTCGACTCCAGAGCTTGCCAGATGAAGGGCTACCCACTTCTCTTTCTGGTCTAGAAATCTGCGAGTGTGATTTGCTAACACAACGGTGCCAGAGAGACACGGGAGAAGATTGGGCCAAGATTTCTCACATCCCCAAGGTGTTGATTGATGGCCGAGAGATATGATTTGCAATGGTACGTAATTCATCAACGTGCGTTTATGTGTTTATTTACGATCTGGCTGTGTAAATTTTAAATCATAAACATGTTTCAAATGTTAATGTTCACATAATAACAAATTTTACAGGTACTCTTGTCCCATATAAACTTGAAAGTATTTGCGATAGAAAGATCTATCGGAGCTACAAAAATTCCAAATCGGTTAGGAGATGACTTGTTCCTTCTCTCATCTTGTTACTCTTCGACTTGTGGATTGTGAACATTGTTTTTCAATGCCAGCATTGTCACAGCTACCATCTCTCAGGAGGCTTGAAACTGATGGGTTAAATGGAGTGGAATTGTTCCTCTTTTCTTATTGTGTCTTACGGTGGTTCTATTATACGACAGTTTGTTGTATCGAACTAGTCTTCGGTGAAAAAGGAGCTTCAACAAGTCTATGAGCTCTAGTTTTCGAATTTCCTTTTTCAAGTTTGTTTCCAAATTATGTCTATTGAGAGGTAGATTTTGGTACTTTGTAGAATTCGAATTCAAATGTTTGGTTTGTAAAATATGGATGATGATTTCATTTCTGTGGAACTGTGAATCTTTGATCATGCTTGAATGTTGTCAGACCAGAGTATCGAAAACCCTCTGTTGTTTACTAATCGATCTCAAGCGGTCTAGATTCGATTTGTTTAATTAGTACTGCAAGATGATCTTATCTACTAATCATGTCTTATCAAATGATTACCATTTCATCATGCCCTTAGGGATGCATAGAGCTTCAAAAGTTTTCAAGTTGCAGCGCATGTGTAGGTTTGAAGTCGTGCAATGATATGTACGCGAAACATATGAGCAAACAAAAGTAAACAACTCTTATACATAAATGTTGGCTGCCAGAAAATCTCAGTGGTACCAGAGAAGATAAGCTTGTAAAAAATTTCTAATTCTCAAAACAGAGGAAACAAGAGAAAGAAGATCTACATATAAGTACCCCTAGTTGGCCGGCACACAGGATTTCTTTTACGAGCATGTTCTTCATTATGGTGCTGTGTCCGACATGCATATCCATACCAGCAATTTTCCCTGTTTGATGCCTCTGTGGGTAGATGATATTTGGGAATCGAAATCCAAAACCAGTACAAGAGGAAGGAGATCAGCTTCTCATAACAGTAATTGCACGTAGGTGTCCCAGAAGTTATTGCCTCAGCATGATTCAGGGGCATCCTCGTTCGATCAATTTCTCTGTTGTTCAACTTTGCAAGCCATTCTGCAATAACATCCTGTGATGTTCTCCCCAACTGTACAGTACACTTCTCAGTGATCACTTGTTCATGTCGATTGTTTTCATGAGTTGAAGTAGGGATTCCAGAGATGGTCCATTCTGAGATTGGTTTAAAAGTCTCGCGACTGCACACATGGTGAGAATCACTTTGTGAAACCCCTTGCGCATGCCAATATAAACTGCAAAATGCCTTATCACATCCTAAACAGTGTTGAGGTACACTTATTGGTGCACGAAGGCATCATTCCTCCGCATGCTTGACATTGCAGATGGATAGTGGTTTGATTGCAGCGGAACGCACCATATTCAGTACCACATTGAGGGCATGGATTTGATGGATTATGAGCTTCTTCATCCACCTGGGAGCGAGCCCTTTTTCTGCGAAGATGTTTTCCAGAGTTTACGACAATATTAGATTGTATTGTTGCATAAGAGTCTAAAATTGCCACTTCATCATTGGTGCGTTTTAGTGAATAGAAGAGAACAAGATCTCTGAGCAAACTACAATCTCATATGAAATAATTTCAACATCCGGATATCTCAAGTCTGATGGAACGAGCTTGGCCCAGAATTCTTCACAGGGTTTTGCACCCGAGCTCTCTCCAACTTCTGCCATCCCTTGAATATATTCACAAAGGACCCAGAAACCATTAATTTAGATCTCAAAGATAAGTAACCGGCCATTGTTATGTTCATTTAAAAAGAAACAAGTACTATATATTCAACTATTTATGAGCAACAGAGCAATTTTAATTTCTAATTATCGAACAAAATGTTTACCGCTAATTAGATAATTCATCCAAGTACGAAAAGAAAACAGATTTGCACTCAAACAAGACAGATTCATGAAATATGCTATGGTAACGCCCCTAACATTTCAACACCGATAAACATATCAACTTCATGTTTCAGACATCCTACAACTACATATATTGGATCGTAACAATTCCAACTAAATGTAAAAGCTCTTAAAGACCTAGTTTGGGAGTGAGGTGCTTAAAAAAAAAACACCTATGAAAAAAAGCTGTGAGGGTTTTTAGGTGTTTGGTAAACTGAAAAAAAAGGGCTTATTTTGGAAGCTGCTGTGAGAATAAGCTGAAATCAAAGGAAAAAGCTGAAGCTGCCATTTCCAGCTTTGGAAAACTGGTTTTTTTTCAAAGCACATAGAGCTACAGTGCTCCTTTAATGAAAAGACCCACTATCAGACTGATTTCTTTCCAAAAGCACTTTTACAAAAAAGTTTACCAAACGCTCTGTTGATTTATTTCATAGCCGCTTATTCTCACAGCACAGCCGCTTATTCTCACAGCAGTTTTTTTTCAAAGCACAGCAATACCAAACCACTCAAAGCATAACGACATACTAGCAAAATTCATGGAAGATAGTAAGTGCCAATTAACAAGAGAGTCAAAAAGGCTTGAGGAGAAGGGGTCCCCAGCAGCGGCATCATTTCTGGCCGGAAAAGGTTCATTCTAGTAATATAATTTATACCACAGAACACATACAAACAGATTTAAGGAGACACAATTGTCATTCTAAAAGAGACACTTTCTCAATTCTTGAATTAAAACCTGGACTCCAAGATTGCAAAACCACAGAATGTGGTCCCCTTTACAAAATGTATATCATGTTTACTCTATGTTCATAGTTTGAACCTTCGTTTATGCAATCTCGCTCTTGTTTTTGTTCTCTTGTATGACCTAATTTTCACACAATTCTCACCGGAAAACCAATAGAAATATTTATGAAAATTGATAGGTCTCACTTGGAAATTGTTTCAAAAACCCTAACAACAAAAATGAAAAGTTTGCAACTTTGGCCAATAAACAATCAAACGTGAAAAGAATTTGAAACTTATCTATTTCTAAACACGTTTATAACATCTTAAGAGACGCGCAATGTTGGTGATAAAAAAGATCATTCACACGCGGATAATAATGTGATTAAATTAATTGTCAAATGATTGTTTTTTTTAAACGATATTATCGATACTAAGGGGGGAGAGGTGTGTTTAGCCTCACAATGGGCTAGCAACAATGTGATTCAATCAGTTGTTTATTAAATATTATTTTATCTATTTTAAACACGTTCAAAATATCTTAAGAGGCATGTAATGCTGGTTATAAAAAAAGTATTTCGCACGAGGATAATAATGTGATTAAATTAGTTGTTAAATGATTTTTTTTAACAAACGATATTATTTACACTAATGGAGAGGGGTGGGCTTAGTCTCACAATGAGCTAGCAATAATGTGATTCAATCAATTATTTATTAAATATTATTTTCTCTATTCTTAATGTAAATTCTATAGAGACCAATTTTATTATGTGAATTCAGCTGGTTTAATTGGTTTATGAAGGTTTTTCTTCTAGCATGATCTAAGATTATTCATTTACTTCAAATATTTAACTTTCATTTTGTCAATTTACACACATATATACATTTAAAAACGTGTAAGTCGTGTATAGCACGTCGTGATTCAAAAAATATCCTCTGCACGTGCGTAAGCATATGCACGGAGGCTAGTATATACTAAAGTGGAATGAGAAAAACATTGTTCATAAGAAACAATGTTTTGACGTTTTTGCCCTCATTTTTAGTGTTTCTGTGTTCCTAGTTTTTGTGCTGTTGAAATCCCCACATTACCATATAGGCATACGTGTGTACGGAAAAATGTTTTTCACGCGTGGCATAAGGAAATTTCTCTGCAGCACCGTGTTATTCCCCTGGGAGTCTGCAGCACCGCTCAACCAAATTTTCTCTCATTCCGTACTTCTCCACCTCTTCAATCGTGCTGCACCGTGAATCGAAACAAAAACTGCTCTTCCAAATCAATTTCAGTTAACTCAAATCCCTAAAACCCAAATTTCTCCAGACCATTGGAATCAGTTTGCCTTTGTTGTTGCTAATCTACAGGTAAAGCTTAAATTTACATACAATTTTTAATTTTTCTTGATTGGAATTTGGAAAGAATTACAGAAAATTGGCGATGTCCACCGAGTCGGATGCGTGGTGGAGACTCGGATGCTCGCTTCCCTGACGTCACTACGCATCGATAAACGCACATCATTTCCGACTACGTCACTTCTTTCTCTCGCCTCCTTTTCATGGTTAGCTCCTCCTCCGTATTTACTCAACGCCTAATTTTGGCCTTTTTTTCTTCCTTCACTGATTTGTTCTAGAGATCGCAGATTGTTGAGTCAGAGAAGAGGTACATTTCCATTTGGGGTTTTTTCCCAATTGATTGATGCTGTATTAATTTGGAATTTGCCCAATTGGGGTTTGAGATTTTTGGTTTATATGGTTGTTTTGAACTTTTGAGAAAACCCTTATTTGGTTTATTTTTTAAGAAAATTAATGAAAATGATTTGAAATCTTTGAATTTTATTGATAAGAACAAAATAAAGGGTAAAGGGAACAATATCATGATTGACTTTTTAGTGTAAAAATGTAATTTTTCGTTAAAGTGAACAGTATCGAGTATTTTTTGTTATTTAAGAGGGGAATAATGATATGATCTGTAATTAGTGATTAGCTTAATCACTATTAAGGGTTTAATTCTTGGGATTATTAGGCTTATTCCTGTTTTAGTGGAGTTTGTTATAATTGCTAGCTGGCATGAGGAGTCATGATTGGTATAAGAGCACTAGTTCTGAGTATTGTAATCAGATCAGAATTTACAACAAAGAAAATAAATACAAAAATATTTGGAGCTCTGCTCCTTCATCTCTCCTTCCCTTTTCTTCTATAGCTTTCTTGTGCTACTTGCAGGTTGATTAAGGAAATTGAGAATTGGGTCTTATCATAGTGGATCTTGACGGGCGGGCGGGCGGGCGAGCGAGCGAGCGAGCCAAGACTTAGTGGTTTAAGCTGGAGAGGTTTATTTGGAAGAACCAAAGCCGTTTGAGCCGATGCTGTAGCAGATTGAACCGGTTCTACGCAGACCTCGCCAAATCTCAGCCATCAGATTGCTGTCCGGACGATCGCACACTTTGTCCGCAACTTAGACACGCCCTTGCAGTTATAGCACCAAGGTGGGCCTGGGAGCAAAGGGCTGAGAAGAATTGAACAGAAATTGGGCCAAACAGGAGCAAAGCGCTGCGCCAGTTGCTGTGGATGGGAATGTTGCTGATGATGATGCTGGACTGGGCCCGCATAATTCAAGGGCTGCGCTAGATGCTCAAGCTGCTCGGCAGAGGGATGCCAGGTTCCACGACCAACACCGCGTGAATTATTGTTAAAATTTCCATTTGCAAAGAAAAGATTGATCATGGCGTTGAAGATTTTTACTTCTGCAGATCCTCCTGGGTCTTTGATTTGTTGTTATACATTCTCTTAACTCTGTCACAAAATTTCCATTTGCAAAGAAAAGATTGATCATGGCGTTGACGGTGGTAGCTGGAGCCGCTCTCTCGGGTTTCTTCCAGCAAGTATTTGTGAAGTTGGATTCTCAGGAGGTCAGGAACTTCATCAGAGGAAAGAAACTGACTGATGGGTTGCTCAAGAAGTTGAGGATCAAGTTGATGTCTGTCAGTGCTGTTTATGATGATGCCGAGCAAAAGCAATTACGTAACCCACATGTGAGGCTGTGGCTTCACGAGCTTAAAGAGGCCGTCCTTGATGCTGAGGACCTACTGGACGAGATCAAGACAGAAGCGTTGAGGCGGAAAATTGAAGCTGAATTTGGAAGTAGCACAAGCAAGGTACAAGACCTCATCTCTGCTTCTTTCCATGCTTTTGATGAGTCTGTAGACAGCAAGATAGAGGAAATTCTTGAGAGGCTAAGCTTCATTGTAGAACAAAAAGATGCCCTTGATTTGAAAAGAGGTAGTAGACACAAAATCTCACAAACATTGCTCTCAACTTCTTTAGTAGAAGGCTCTGATGTGTATGGAAGAGATCATGAGAAGGAAACCATCATTCAATTGTTGCTATCAGATGATTGCACTTGTAATAAGATTGGCGTCATTCCCATTGTGGGCATGGGTGGGATCGGAAAGACAACCCTTGCCCAGCTCTTATACAATGATGATAGAGTGAAGCAGCGTTTTAAGCCCCGAGCATGGGTTTGTGTTTCTGATGAATTTGACGTTGTTAAGATCACACAAACAATTTATGCATCAGTCACTTCACAAACCTGTGATACCACAGACCTAAACCAGCTTCAAGTCAAACTCAAAGATACTTTGGCGGGGAAGAAGTTTCTTTTTGTTCTTGATGACGTTTGGAACGAGAATTACAATATTTGGGAATCCTTAAGGCGCCCCTTCGAGTCTGGAGCTCATGGAAGTAAGATCATTGTCACCGCAAGGAATGGTGGTGTTGCATCTACGATGGGTACTCTTCAAACCCACTATTTAAAGCACTTACTTGAGGAAGACTGTTGGTCTTTATTTGCAAAACATGCCTTCAAAGATGCAAGTGTTATTGTAGATCCAAATCTGGAGGTAATTGGAAGACAAATTGTGAGCAAGTGTAAAGGCCTTCCTTTAGCTGCAAAATCGCTCGGTGGTCTCTTACGCTCTGAATCAAATGTGGAGGAATGGGAAAATGTGCTAAAAAGTGACATATGGGAGTTGTCAGATGCAAAGATTGACATTTTGCCGGCTCTATGGCTAAGCTACCAGTACTTGTCTCCGGAGCTGAAGCGTTGTTTTGCTTATTGTTCAACATTTCCCAAAGATTATTTATTTGACAAGTCTAAATTAATTTTGTTGTGGATGGCCGAAGATCTTATACAACCCCAAAAGAAGACTAGGTTGGAAGATGTTGGAAAGCAATACTTTGATGATCTAATCTCACGGTCATTTTTTCAATACTCGTCTTCAAATGATTGTTTCATCATGCATGATCTGATGCATGATTTGGCGACTTACGTATCTGGAGAATTTTGCATTAGATTGGAAGACCACAACTTCTCATTGGACGTTGTGAGCAAGGGTCGTCATTTTTCTTATATGCAATATTCATCTAATGTTGATTATGAGAGATTTGACACTATTTATGAAGCTAAGTATCTGCGCACCTTCATTCTTGGCAATCACTTTCCATCGCCGAAAGTACGACTTGATCTCCTTTTAGTGCTACATTGTTTAAGAGTTCTCAAACTACGTGGGCATGATATCACGGAGTTGCCTGATTCGATTAGCAACTTGAAGCATCTACGGTACCTTGACTTGTGGTTCACTCCAATCCAGAAATTACCTGACACCGTATGCAGATTGTATAATTTACAAACGTTGTTGTTGTCAAATTGTATATATCTAGCTGAGTTGCCCACCGATTTGAGAAGACTTATCAACTTGCGCCATCTTGATTTCAGAGGTACAAAATTAAAATGATGCCCCCCCACATGGGCAAGTTGAAAGATCTCCAAACATTTGAAGGTGAGTTTGTCTTGAGCAAAGATGCCGGGGGAAACATTGATGAGTTAAAGGGGTTTCAGCATTTGAGTGGAAATCTTCATGTGTCAGGGCTTCAAAATATCAAACGTGCTGAGGATGCTTTGGAGGCCAAACTAAGGGACAAGAGGCTTAGTGACATACGTTTGAAATGGGAAGGTGACACTATCGATTCTGAAAACGATAGCCGAGTGCTAGGCAACCTACAGCCCAATACAAACCTAAAAGTACTGGCTATAGAAGGATACGGAGGTACAAAGTTTCCAGGTTGGTTAGGAGATGAGTCTTTCTCTAACCTCGTCACTATCCGACTTGAGACTTGTGGATATTGTTTCTCCTTGCCAGCATTGGGGCAGTTACCCTCCCTCAAAAGGCTTGAAATTGATGGGTTAAATGGAGTGGAATCAGTGGGGTCTGAGTTTTATGGGGGAATTAAACCTGCATTTAAATCTCTGTTGTTTCTGAGTTTCCGCAATATGCGGGAATGGCAAGAGTGGTGTTTCCCTGGAGGTGAAGAAGAAGGCGGACATTTTCCTAATCTTTGCGAGCTTAGTCTGGAGAACTGTCCCAAACTAACGGGGAAAATACCGTTATACTACTTCCCAAGACTTGAGCAGGTACGTTTGGAGGAAGTTAATATCGAATCCCTTGCTTGTTCGCAAGAATGCAATAAATTCAATATTGAACTCCCATCCCTCCGTGAGTTGAAAATATCAGATTGCCCGAATCTGGTATGTTTTGTGGGTGGTGGAGTGCTGCTTGCGCCCAACTTGGAGGAGATAACTATTTGCCATTTTAAGAACTTGTGGTCAGTGCCCGAAGATATGCAAATCTCGCTCCCATCTCTTCCGTCTCTGTCCATACAAGGGTGTAAAGAATTTAAATCATTTCCGGAAGAATCTAAATTCCCATCCCTCGTTGTTTTGAAGATACAGGGATGCCCAGAATTTGTGGGTTTCCCCCATGGAGGAGGACTGCAAGCGCCCAACTTGAAGGAGATGGAAATCAAAGAATGTAACAAATTCAGGTCACTGCCAGAGGAGATGCAAATCTCTCTCCCATCTCTCGAGTCTCTGTGTATAAGGGATTGTCCAGAATTGGAATCATTTTCGGAAGGGGGATTGCCGTCTAAATTGCGTTTTCTCAGTATCTGGAGTTGTAAAGAACTGATGGCAAACCGTATGCGGTGGGGTCTACAAACACTCACCTCTCTCAAATACTTGGATGTCAGCTTCAGAGGATGTGAAGATGAAGAAATTGGCGAATCATTTCCAGAAGAGGGGCTGCTGCCAACCACTCTCACTTCTCTCGGAATCTACAATCATCCGAATCTGAAAAACCATTGACGGCAAGGCGTTAAGACACCTCATCTCTCTCGAGAAGTTGGAGATTTATTATTGTCCTCAACTCCAGAGCTTGCCAGATGAAGGGCTACCCACTTCTCTTTCTCGTCTAGATATCTTCCCAGTGTGATTGCTAAAACAACGGTGCCAGAGAGACACGGAAGAAGATTGGGCCAAGATTTCTACATTCCCAACATAACGATTTCTGGCCGAAAGATATGATTTGCAATGGTACGTAATTCGTCAACGTGCGTTTATGTGTTTATTTACGATCTGGCTGTGAAAAATTTAAATCATAAACATGTTTCAAATGTTAATATTCTCGTAATAACAAATTTTACAGGTACTCCAGTCCCATATAAACATGAAAGTATTTGCGATAGAAACATACGGAGCTACAAAAATTCCAGATGACTCGTTCATTCTCTCATCTTGTTACTCTTCGACATGTGGATTGTGAATATTGTTTTTCAATGCCAGCATTGGCACAGCTACCATCTCTCAGAAGGCTTGAAACTGATGGGTTAAATGGAGTGGAATTGTTCCTCTTTTCTTACTGTGTCTTACGGTGGTTCTATTATACCACAGTTTGTTGAACGAACTAGTCTTCGGTGAAAAACGAGCTTCAACAAGTTTACGAGCCCTAGTTTCCGAATTTCCTTTTTCAAGTTTGTTTGCAAATTATGTCTATTGAGAGGTAGATTTTGGTACTTTGTGGAATTCGAATTCAAATGTTTGGTTTGTAAAATATGGATGATGATTTCGTTTCTGTGGAACTGTGAATCTATGATCATGCTTGAATGTTGTAAGCCCAGAGTATCGAAAACCCTCGGTTGTCTACTAATCGATCTCAAGCGGCCTAAATTCGATTTGTTTAATTAGTATTGCAAGATGATCTTATCTACTGATCATGTCTTTATCAAATGATTACCATTTCATCATGCCCTTAGGGATGCATAGAGCTTCAAAAGTTTTCAAGTTGCTTCGCATGTGTAGGTTTGAAGTCGTGCAATGATATGTACGCGAAACTTATGAGCAAACAAAAGTAAACAACTCTTATACATAAATGGCTGCCAGAAAATCTCAGTTGTACCAGAGAAGATAAGGTTGTAATAAATTTCTAATTCTCAAAAACAGAGAAAGAAGATCTACATATACTTACCCCTAGTTGGCCGGCACACATGATTTCTTTTACGAGCATGTTCTTCATTATGGTGCTGTGTCCGACATGCATATCCATACCAGCAATTTTCCCTGTTTGATGCCTCTGTGGGTAGATGATACTTGGGAATCTAAATCCGAAACCAGTACAAGAGGAAGGAGATTAGCTTCTCGTAACAGTAATTGCACGTAGGTGTCCCAGAAGTTATTGTTTCAGCAGGATTCAGGGGCATCCTCGTTCGATCAATTTCTCTGTTGTTCAACTTTGCAAGCCATTCTGCAATAACATTCTGTAATGTTCTCCCCAACTGTGCAATACACTTCTCAGTGATAACTTGTTCATGTCGATTGTTTTCATGAGCTGAAGTAGGGATTCCAGAGATGGTCCATTCTGAGATTGGTTTAAAAGTCTCACGCCTGCACACACGGTGAGAATCACTTTGTGAAACCCCTTGCGCATGCCAATATGTACCGCAAAATTCCTTATCACATCCTAAACAGTGTTGAGGTATACTGTTATTGGTGTGCAAAGGCATCATTCCTCCGCATGCTTGACATTGCAGATGGATAGTGGTTTGATTGCAGCAGAACCCACCATATTCAGTACCACATTGAGGGCATGGATTTGATGGATTATCAGCTTCTTCATCACCTGGGAGTGAGCCCTTTTTACGACAAGATTAGATTGTATTGTTGCATAAGAGTCTAAAATTGCCACTTCATCATTGGTGCGTTTTAGTGAAGAATCAGCTTGTAGTATTTCATCCACAACGTTAAGCAAGAAGTGATTTCTTCCAACAAACTGTACAACTGCTCGACAATGGGGACAGAGTACACTTGAACGTTTCTCCAGTGATCTCTTTAACCACTCTGAGAAGCATCCATTACAGAAATTATGGAAGCAAGGAGCAACGGTAACTACATCATGCCATATGTTCAAGCAATTGCAGCATATTGCATGCTCGGCATCCATAGAAATCTTGCACCACTTGCATTTGCGAATAGAAGAGAACAAGATCTCTGAGCAAACTACAATCTCACGTGAACTAATCTCAACATCCGGATATCTCGAGTCTGATGGAACGAGCTTGGCCCAGAATTCTTCACAGGGTTTTGCACCCGAGCTCTCTCCAACTTCTGCCATCCCTTGAATATATTCACAAAGGACCCAGGAACCTTTAATTTAGATCTCAAAGATAAGTAACCGGCCATTGTTATGTTCAATTAAAAAGAACACAAATACTTGTATGTTCAACTATTTATGAGCAACAGAGAAATTTTAATTTCTAATTATCAGACAAAATGTTTACCGCTAATTAGATAATTCATCCCAGTACGAAAAGAAAACAGATTTGCACTCAAACAAGACAGATTCATGAAATATGCTATGGTAACGCCCCAAACATTTCAACACCGATAAACATATCAACTTCATGTTTCAGACACCCTACAACTACATAAATTGGGTCGTAACAATTCCAACTAAACGTAAAAGCTCTTAACTCAAAGCATAACGACATACTAGCGAAATTCATGGAAGATAGTAAGTGTCAATTAACAAGAGAGTCAAAAAGGCTTGAGGAGAAGGAGTCCCCAGCAGCGGCATCATTTCTGGCCGGAAAAAGGTTCATTCTAGTAATATAATTTATACCACAGAACACATACAAACGGATTTAAGGGGTTTTGTAATTCGTGGACGGGTGGTGACACAATTGTCATTCTAAAAGAGACACTTTCTCAATTCTTGAATTAAAACCTGGACTCCAAGATTGCAAAACCACAGAATGTGGTGATTCCCTTTAGAAAATGTATATCATGTTTACTCTATGTTCAGAGTTTGAACCTTCGTTTATGCAATCTCGCTCTTGTTTTTGCTCTCTTGTATGACCTAATTTTCACACAATTCTCACCGGAAAACCAATAGAAATATTTATGAAAAATCGATAGGTCTCACTTGGAAATTGTTTCAAAAACCCAACAACAAAAAAGAAAAGTTTGCAACGTTGGCCAATAAACAATCAAAGGTGAAAAGAATTTGAAACTTTCACAGGATTCTTACATATAGAACTATTAAAATATATATTAGTTTAGGAATAATTGGCAGGTTTCACTTGGGAAAACTGGAAACAATAGCCAAAATTTAACCCCTAATCATGGAAAATGAAAGAAAGTTTGCAACTTTAGCCAAAGTTTGATCCTTTAACCCTTTCCCAGTAACATTTGAACCAATTCGAGCAGTAATTAAACTCACAAATTCTAGAGAATGTTACAGGTGAAAAAGATTTACCAAAATTTCCAGATTTGTACACAAAATATCCAGGCATAACAGGAAATCATAAATACCAATAATTTAATAAACAAGAAAACAATGATGAGAAAAAAGAAATACCTGTTGAGAGGAGATGGGCAATTTTGGATTTTTAAAAATCTCTTCTTCAGCCACTGACAGATGCTGAAGAAGAGATTTTTAAAGAAGGAGATGATGAAACTTGTTCAGCAAAGTGAGTACGGAAGAAGGCTCTGTTTAAATAAACAACGAAAATTTAAAAACACAGAGAGAGAGAGTTGAAGAGTGATTGGCTTGTTAGGACTGGGCTTGCTAATGCTTTGTTGTAGTGGACTTGGTATTCTAGTGTTTAAAAAAAAAAGTTTTTATCATAAACGGTCCTGATCAAACACATCATTTTGATCGTAACTTTAAAAATCAATAGAAATAGTTCATGAGATTGATCAAATACATCACAAATGGTCATGCCGTTAAAAATTCTTTGGATAATTTTCAAAGCTTCGTAACTCAATCGTTTCTTAAACAAATTCGACCTACAATATATCAAAACGAAGATAGGAAAGTGTAGAACAAGATTATACCTATTTGGAAGCCCAATGGTTGCCGGAGATGGCCGGAAAATAGCCTCAAATGTGACTGTTCCACGGAAAAACTGGAAAACTCGCCGGAAACTGGGTAAACTTTAAACGTTCATAACTTCTTCCTTACTCAACGAAATTGAGTGATTCAAAAATGAAAATCATACTTCTCAACGAGACAAAGAGAATGATACCTTAATTGACTGCTAATTCACCGTGGTTTGGCCGGAAAACGGCTTGAAATTGGATAACCATTTTCGAGTTAGCCAATTTCGAGCCGTTTTCCAGACAAACTACGGCGATTTAGCCATAAAAAAATATACCATTCTCTTCGTCTCGTCGAGAAGTATGATTTTAGTTTTTGAATCACTCGATTTTGTTAATTATTGAAGAAGTTATGAACGTTTAAAGTTTACCCAGTTTCCGGTGAGTTTTCCAGTTTTTCTGCAGACCAGTCACATTTGAGGCTATTTTCCGGCCATCTCCAGCAACCATTGGGCTTCAAAATGGTATAATATTGCGGCGAGTTTTCCAGTTTTTCTGCGGACCAGTCACATTTGAGGCTATTTTCCGGCCATCTCCAGAAACCATTGGGCTTCAAAATGGTATAATATTGTTCTACACTTTCCTATCTTCATTTTGATATATTATGAGTCAAATTTGGTTAAGAAACGATTGAGTTACGAAGCTTTGAAAATTGTCTTTTTAACGGAATGACCATTTGTGATGTATTTGATCAATCTCAGGGACCATTTCTATTGATTTTCAATATCAGAGACCAAAATGATGTGTTTGATCAATGTCAGGGACTATTTGTGATAAAAACCCAAAAAAAAAAACTGTTTTGCTGTACTGTGAGAGATCGAGAATAAGTCGGACGTAAAATAAAACAGTTGATTGTTTGGTAAACTTTTTCTTGTAAAAGTGCTTATAGTTCTTGGGCCGAGGATGGTGAAGATTATACGAAGAGGAGGCTGAGAGCTTTCTTCTCCAAGTTTTGCAAGGTTGAAGAAAATGCTCTTTAAGAACAGAGGTCGAGCGGAAATTTTCATTATGACAATGGATGCAGCCGTGAAGGCAAGGGAAACTCTGCCCGGTGATCGTTCTAATCTGTTCCGGGTTTCAATATATGACGGCGCTGTTCGCGAAAAGTTTGAAGGGCAAAAGCAGCAATGATTAACTAGGGTTTCAAATTTTGCTTGTGTATGCCATTACCTTTAGTTTTGGTTTGCTTAAAACGTTAACATTCCCATCATCTGATATAATTTACAGTTCCTAACATCAGATCTTTTTACTTTTATCAAACTCACATTATTCATACAAAAAGACGACTCAACTCAACTCACGACAAAAATTGCTAAGGAAAACTTGAAATATATTACAAACCAGATTCTGTATACGAGCAAAAAACGCATTCAATTATCAACGAACGAGGACTCCGCCAGATCAATAGCGCGCGCAAGAGCAGCAGCTTTGTTCTCGCACTCCCTCTGCTCATCGGCTGGATCACTGTCAGCAACAATTCCTGCCCCGGCTTGGAGATGAGCGACCCACTCTCTGCGCTTGTTTGCGTCCTTGTATGAATACATTGTATCATACCGAAAGCTAGTTGGAAAAACAATAGTTCTCAGAGCAAGGGCAATGTCCATGTTGCCAGAAAACGAAATTCCCCCAAAGCCACCACTGTATGGACCACGTCTAGTCACTTCTAGCTTATCGATCAGCTCCATGGCTTTCACCTGCATTGCAGTAGAGCTAAGAATGCAGAAACTCGAAAAATTAATCCTAAGTGAGTCCATATAAGATAGATTAGGAAATCATGACATCAGGTTCCATATATCAACCAATAGTGGTGTAATAAGCCGTTTCCTAACTAATTAGGTTAATCCTCAAGGTTTGTACTCACAGGATTATACAGGTTAATTAAGTCTAGGATCAATTTAGCTAATTAATAAGAAATAAAACAAGAATGCCAACAAACAAATTAAAAAGGGCTCATGAAGAAAACCTTCGGTGCTCCACTGACTGTCCCAACCGGCAACGCAGTACGCAGAACATCCCAGCTAGTTAAATCATCAAGTAACTCTCCAGTAACCTACAATCACATTAAAGTTTCGTCCCTTAATTCAATTGTTTGTTGAGTACATACATTACACTCATGAAAATAGTTATAGACCCCATGAGAAAATAAATTCTGAAACTAATGTCTACAGATGCGCGGATGTGTCATCAATCGTTATAGATATTAGGTTACTTATTATGTGTATTACCAAAAGGAGATACTTACTGTTGAACTTATGTGCATGACATGGGAATAACGCTCAATGTTCATGAGCTCCTCAACCTTCACAGAACCAGGTTTTGAGACCTGCATGAACAAATTATCAATCGCTTTATTATGGCCACAATACTAAATGAAAGAAACAGATTATGATAAAAATCTTATAAATATTGTCACGTAAGCCATGAACAGACAAGGCACCAAGTGTGAACTTATTAAGCTAATGCTGAAATATACATCAGTGAAATACTTTTTACCCGCCATGGACTGAAAATAGATACCGGGGAAAATAAAATTTAGCATATGCATGGTATTACACTCTAGAGAATAAAGTTCAACATACAGTAATAATCATACAAATAAGAGAAAGGAAAGATTATAAACCTTCCCAACATCATTCCTTCCCAAGTCTACAAGCATAATATGCTCTGCACATTGCTTTTCATCATTCAAAAGCTGCTTTTCCAGCATTAAATCTTCTTTAGGTGTTTTTCCTCTTCTAACTGTCCCAGCAAGAGGCCGGTTGGTGATCGTTTTCTAATAACAAAAACAAGAAATGCAAATCTCAGCAATTTATTGCTAATGAAGACTACAACACTATAGTAGGAAAACAAAAGGGACCAAAGAAAACATAAAATGTAGGACATCTTGTAGGAACCATTGTAGAGGTTTAGGAGCTAGCAACAGAATAAGACGAACACTCAGATGTTAAAATTTTTTGGACTTCCTTTACTCACCTTCTTGACACGTGTCAGAATTTCTGGACTTGAAGCAACCAGAATACAGCCTCTAGCCTGATCATGGAAGTATATACTCATATAATCTCAGAATTACAAGATGAACAAGTAGATTGGAACCAAGGACTCACTGAAAACGAGGCAAACCTGTAAATAAGTCATATATGGACTTGGATTAACTATCCTCAATGCTCGGTAAATTTCAAATGGGTCTGCAAATGTTCGCCTCTCAAAACGCTGGCTTAATACAATCTGAAATATATCCCCAGCTAGAATGTGTTCTTTAGCTTCCAAAACTGCCTCCTTATATTCCTCACTTGTCAAGCTTGAGTCCTCCAATTTAGTACCAAAAAGTTGAGTGTTGAACTCTATTGAACCTGCAGGCAGCCTAGGGCTGAAATTGACAGTCGGTACATTTTTACATCAACCTTAAGTTTTTTATTTTTAAAAAAGTAATTAACAAGTATGGAGAACTAATTCCCCCAGCCCTGAGGCAGCCTCGAGTTGAAATTGACCGTTGAATAATTTATAATTAAAACTGGTATTAAAGAGGGAGGGATGAGTAAGAATATAGGAGGGGAATAGAAACTCAACAAAAAAAATAGAAGAGAAATGTGAAAGAAAGGAGTTGATTACTCACGTGATAATGTCATGCACTCTAGATAGCAATGTTTCCAATCTATTTATTCCATCATTGAAGGCCTCGTCAACAGAAGAATATTGATCTAATTGCACCCAGTGAATTACATGTGCTTTCTATAGTAGACAAAATTGAAAAATAGAAATGGTTATAGCCACAACAGTAGCACCCTATTTGTTAAAATAAAAATTTACAACCAAAGCATGCAGTTAACTAATTCTCCTAGTTCAGTAATGGGATGCAAATATTTTGATTCAACGTGGCGGAAAAAACAAACAAGTACTTTGAAGAAAAAGAATAAGCATAAGAGCGAGTAACTAGGAAGAAAAAAAAAACTATTTTAACAGAAAAAAAAGCAGATGTCATTATGCTGACATGCATTTGAATCAAAGTGTCTCCAATTTATATATTTTCTTCACTAAAATCTAGCATGAAAATCACAGTACCTTGTCCACATGATCGAACACTATCACATCGTCATAAAGACCAAGATGAACATCAGGAAGATTTCTATCATCTGGTGGTGCACTCGGAAATGGCAGCTTTTTCTTTTCAACATAACGTACTGTATCATAAGAGAAGTACCCAACCCAGCCACCTGATAAAGAGAATGGATGTTGTTAACCACCAACTAGTGACTTCGAAAACCTCAATTTTTTAAGACTGAATTATACAATAATACGAGGATAGATTTATGGCAATTTTGTGACAAGTACATCTTTTGCGAGAGTCCAGAATATCACACATTACTTAGTGTCAACACAGTACATCTACAACCTAAAAAATGTACAGGGAAATATGATCTGTACTGATAGCCCACAGTTCTACTTGCCTAGTCCAAAACTTTGAGACAAAAGGAAAAAATTAAGCAAAGCGTGGTCTTCATTTTTATAAATAACTTCACCACAACTTTACGAGTCTAAGCTTTGTTAACAAACCACATTTAAGGAGAAGTGGTTTACTTTGAACTGAGAGGATTAAGATAAGAGTACTACCAAAAAAATTTAAGGCATGTTCTTTGTGTACTGATCATACCACAAAATGCTTCTGGAAGTTCATCAAGAAGTTGGGGTGTCCATCCCTCCATGATTCTCCGAGGAACAGTCATTGGATCCTCCACGATCTCCTCTGTCCTACAACCTTCTCTGTGGTCCATAATGGTAACCATGTTCTCCTTAGCCACGATTTCAATGGATGGTTGGGCACCAATAACACTGTACCGGCCCTAACAATGATTGACACCAAAAATTTGTAAGTGATTAATTATTGTCTAAAGTCAGATGCAAACAAATACAAATGATACAAGGGGCTGAGGACGCTTACAACATTGGAGTCGTTGGAACCCGGCTCAACTGACTCAAACAGAAAACTTGGAGCATCTCTATCATCCTCCTTAACCAGACACCGGTAAGCAAGAACAGGAGTTAGATGATCTGAGAATATGCTCCGAGACAGAGGAATTAAATTCCCCTTCTTCGAGGCTTCTACAAACTTCTCTGATTCGTCGGCTGCAGTAAAATCAATCGCACAAATCAAAACTCGCATTGCCTGACAGAATCAAATTTTGAATTCTAAAATTTGGGCAGATTGTAATCATATAATGACCACCACTCTCATTGTTCAGCTAATCGAACCGAAATTAGCAATTTACAATGTAAATCAAAACACAATTAACTAAAAGCCCAGAAATTCATTTTCTATATTTTCTTCCAGTAAAACAATCATAGAACTCAAATGTAAATGGCTAATACTCAATTATCCACCCAAAGTTCCACATTTTCTCGGAAACCAAACACATCCCAGAAAGAAAATGTAGTTTAATCAACTGCTCCAGAAGAAAATTTGAAAATTTACCCAATGAGGCAGATGAGAGGGCCGAGCATCTCAGTGTGCGGACACGGGGCGTGGCGCGAAGCAGAGACAGAGAGCTGGAAACTCTGTTATGAAATTTAACGGAGACCGTTGACAGCGTCGGGAGAGTTGACGGCAGTTGACGGGAGCCAAAACGGCTAGGGTTTCCAATTTCCATGGCAGAAGAAGAAGAAAGCAGGTTGGTTTCGAGTTTGAACAGACGAAGTTGCCGTGGTGACTTCTGAGAGGCTGAGACTGGAGAAAGACTGAGCCAGACACTGCTTATTGGGCTTTTGACTTTGGGCTCAAATATCCTAATAACTCAAATTACTTAAACTACGCGTGTATCAAGAAGCTTTTGTATAAAATAAAATGAGTTTTAACGAAAAATTTGTGGTATTGTTTATTTTAACAAAAAATTATATTTTTACACTAAAAAATCAAATCTAATACTATTCATTTTACCTTTGATTTTGTCCTTATAATTAAAACTCAAAGTTTTCAATTCCTTTTCATTAGTTTTTCTTAAAATAAAAGACGAAAAAAATAATTTAAAGATAGAAAATAAAATGAATAAATATTTTCACATAAGCCTTTTTTATTTTATGAAAATATTTACTTATTTATGTTCGTTGATTTTACAATTATCAGAGAGAAACTTAATATGCATAACCAGCAGGCTGGTCGATCTCAGAAATCTTATCGGCCTACAAACCGAAGATGGGCAACCAAGGATGGATTGGCCGAACCTTGCTGCTCAGGCCTCTAAGAGATCGACCTCTGGCTACACATTATGTTTTCTATTTGTACTTCTTTGGCAATAATTGGTATTTACTTGTTATTGTATTTACAAATTTTCTTAAATATAAAATCACCTAATTCTAATTTACATGTTATAAAATGGATGATCAACGAATGTATAATTTAGGGTATAGTATTAATTTACTAAATATGCATGTTATAGCAAGGGTTGATTGACAAAATCATGCGACAGTGATGCCATCTCACCAAAAGATTAGTTAATTATCACATCATTTCATGTGTATTTTCACACATATAATTGCTAGGAAATAACGAGAATCGAATCCTTATCATGAACATGAGAGATCATAATTCTAGTTCTACATAACAAAAAATCTTTGTAACAAAAGCATGAAAATAAATAAACATTATTATCCTTTCAGAAAGAAGAATGTGTTACATTCCTATGTTTATACAAAATAAGTTACATCTTTTGAATTACAAGTATAACATAAGCTAATTCAACAACTTCTCTCTGTTGTTTTCCTTTGTATCATCTTTTTAAAGAACGAAACGGCGAAATTGAACTCTTGACGAAAACTGGTCTGCAATTAGATGCTTCTCGTCGCCGGAAATCTGCATTCGAACAGTAATATGAAACTGTAAGAGATAAAACGACCCCTGACGGAAACTGGCAAGATAAATATTTATGAGTAAATGGTCAATACTTGGCTTCCAAGGCACATTATCTGCAGGAAAGCTTTCACTGGACATGGATTTTATTTCAACTGTGCAATGAATAATATTTTTACCAGCATGTTGCTAACCCTATGTTAGCGTCTTCGTTTGTATGGTTGAAGCATTCAGTTCAAAATATAAAAAGAGACCCCAAGCCAACAAGGCTCCCCGATTTGGAGGGTTGAAGGAAACGTCTATCGTATGCAACCTTACCTTTGCTTTGCAAAGAGGCTATTTATATAACTCGAACCGGTGACCTTTCGGTCACAACGGAGCAACCTTTCCGTTGCGCCAAGGCTCGCTCTCATGCAGTTCAAAATATGAGATGCGCAATTCGTAATCAAGGCAATGCATTTCGAGAGAACTGTAAAAGGTAAGGTCCCGCCGGTATCAAGCGTAAGAAGAATCTGGACTACATATTCTTTGAATACAACTACTGAAGACAGTTCCGAAAGAAACGAATTCCCTGTTCAAACATAAAAGAGGTAAACATCAACAAGCTGAAAGAAATTACAAGATTATATCGTAAATCAAAACCGGAGTTTATAAGAGGCTTAGATATATTGTGACCTCACCTGTAGTGCAAAAGTGATGTCTGCTTCATCTGCTGCATTCATCGTCACTCTTTTAAGTTTTTCGTCTCGAGATTGACCACCCAACTTCAGGAGGCCCTGCACGTAGATTATGCCTCAGTAAGTAACTTGTTTCTCCTTTACCAAGTTGGTGAATTCGTATTAAAACCTAATAACGTATTGTCAGAGAACCCCGATACAAGGAATGTTATATTAACAGATGTATTTGCTTACCTGGTCATTTAGCACTCTGCACATACTTGAAAATTCAAAAATTCCGACTGGTGGAATAAATGTTGATTTGCAGATGTCTATATAAGATTTATTTAGCTGCAAATATGTGAAAAGCACAGAAATCAGCAACGTAAGTTTTACATGCTTGTGTTATCGTTTATCATCAAACAATGGAAAGGAAACATACCTGTGCTACAGTTGAATCCTTCTTTTTCCCACGGAAAAGCCTCACAGCAGAGCAAAGTATAATCTGCAGTGAAATAGGACACTTGCATTAAAATCAATGATAGGATGCCAATATATGTGTTCGTTTCATGGATCGGAACTAGAGTAACTATTTCTGAAGAATTGTGTTACTCAAAAGCCTCACAGCCTACATTCAACGAGTACAAGTCACCAGAAAAAGGGCTACCTGTTGATGTTGCGGAAGACTTTGTATGGTATCCACTACTGGTGATTTGAATGTCTTTGACAAAGCAGAAGCCATATGACCAATTGTCACCTGCAACACATAAGTGAAAATTTAGAACGTAAATAGTTCAAACAATGAAGCAAGCATTGCGAAACTTTTAGGTTTTCACAATTCAAAGTATTTACTTGAAACTTTTGGCGTTAAAGAATGAATCAAATAAAGATAATGGAATTGGAAAATTTCTGAAATCTTCTTGCATGAACAAAAGAATGAACTGAAACGAATGCATGAAATCTGTCAGTTTGGTGATTCAGATAAGTTCTTGAGGCATGTGGGGATCAAGGGTGATCGCTTACAACATCAGTCTCCCGTTTTTTCACAACAGGAGCTGGAGCAGGAGCCGTCTGCTGCTCAAAGAATGCATCCACTACTGATGATGAATTCAAGTTCTCAGCATATTCTTTCACCTCTGCTTCCAGAATCTCAATGGCACTCCTGGAAAAAAGTTTAGGAAAAGTTACGCTCATAACCCCACGCAATGCTCCTACAAATAGAGTCAAAAGTCACCAGATATATAGATGCATTCTCTGACATTTATATGACTTGCGATTTGTAAGGCATTTACATTTTCTGATACATCGATGAATCTAAAGTGCTTGTTCCTTTCTTACACCTTTTCAATTGCACAGTCCATGTCTATTCCAATTAATCAGAATCGTCAAATTCAGACACCTTTCGTACAATGTAATAATTTATCATGCGACTCAACAAAACTAACCTGCAAATACAAAGAGCTTTCCTCATATCTCCAGATGCCGCAGCAACTTTCTGCCATTTTTCATTGTTAAGTACTCAGCCTATATGCTTTTAACATAAAGATTGGTAACATCTAAATCCATTAAGAATGTTCTGGAAAATATGATAACAATAGCAAACTTACTCTGGCACAAAGCTCTAATGCTGGTGGTTGAAAGACGGTGTAAGGTAGTGTCTGTAGGAACACAATAACTGTCAGTACTCGGTAAATATACCAAGACAATAAGAAAGAACAACTCGTATATGAATACTCCACAGCAAGGAAGAAAAAAATATTCCTAATTCAGGCTCGTGATTAATTTATAAATGAAGGCATGAACTTACAATTAACCTCTGTTGAAGAATCCTGAGAATCTGGTCATAAGAGTATGCCCGAAAAGTAATAACCATAGGTTTGCCTGGAACATGAACATAATACGTAAGCACACTAGTTGCTAGTAAGTACTACACCCCAAATACAGTACAGCATCTCATTGAAGAAAAACGAGTTAACAAAGATATTCAACTCACAATTTAATGACTGAAGTCTTGGAAGAAAACGATCGGCCAGGTCTATGGCATTTGCCACTCCTGCAAAAGCATAAATAGTATGAGAACTTCACATATTACTACAAATTTGTAACTGAACGTACCTTATCTTAACTAGATTAGTACCTATGAGTATGCATCTCGAGAATTGGTACGTTGTGAGCATAAAAAGATCATGAAGCACCACCCGGTCTTTAGTAATTAAGAAGTCCAACTCATCAGCTATTACCAGCCTGATGGAATAGAAACTATTTTAGTATAACCACTCTTTATTACATTCTGTCAAACATTGCTCAGATCGTGTTCGAACGAGGATAAATTACTTACGTCATCTTCCTTCTAGAATACAAAGGCTTTTGAGAGTACAAATTTTGGAGAAGCTGCAGGGATGAGGTTTTGCGTTTAACTTCCTTCGGCGTTTGGTCTTTACCAAGTATCTGCCATTGCAAACCAAATGTGAGCACATCATCTGTCATAACTTACAACCAACAACAGAAGAAGCATTCGAGTTTCGTTACCTTAGTGAACATATCAGAAGTCTTTGTTAGAGAAGAACAATTCAAAGCCAACACATCCGGTTCCTCAAACCCAGCCTACCAATAAGAACAATTCCCAGTGTTAGTTAACAATTTGTATCGAAATAACACATCTTTCAGACATGGCGGTTAATCAAACATGTAGTATACATTCTAAAGATTCTATGATATTTGTAAACTTAAGCACATAAAATCACTGAGGTGCAATTAGCTTGCCTCTCCTGCCCAATCAACCAAAGCCTGCTTCACTTTCTCAATGGACAGAGATTTTCCGGTCCCCGGACACCCACAGACGTACAAACTCCCAGCCTTCTCTTGCTCTATGCATTGTTTCAAGAACTCCAAAACCCTCTTCTGCTCGTCTTCCCGGCACGAAACAGTTGAAGGCACGGTTGAAACGTGCAATGCCTCCTTCACCTCACTGATTTGCTTGACATCTACGAGTCCAACCAAAACAATTTCCCAATTCAAACACCAAAGACACACATTTTCCCATAAATTAAATCAATTTCGCTTGAAAATAGTCACCTTTCGGGTTCCATTTTGGTTTCTCAACTGATTTTTCGACTGATTTGCACAAAGTCTGGACCTTCTTTTGGGTGAAATACTTCTCAATTCCCTGAAATTATTTCCAAATTAACCAACGAGCTAAAATCGATAGCTTTATCAATCTCGCAAATTACTCCGCAGTTAC